CCCTATTTTTGAATTCTGTAACGGATGCATTAATTGCGTAATTAATGACATTTATTGCCATTAAACGCTCAATCAATTAGTGATTTGTTTCCGTTTCAACTATAAAAGAAGACCTTGGTCGTCTCATTCAAACACACAGATGAAAATACTCTTCTTCTTCCTCCTTCTCTGTACTCCTGCTTCCGGCGATTCTTTCAGGCAAGTCGTCATATCCGGCAGTACACAATACTGCTAAGGTTGTTGTACCCTGGGAACAGACGGCGAATCTGTTTAAGGGAATCGAGTCCAACTCGAGCCTCAGCCACATCGTTTGCTGCTAATCTTTTCATTACAGGAACCATTCTTAAGAGGAAAACGAAGACCCTATACTAACATCAAGTTGGTTTATGATACCCTGTGGAGCTCTAAAGATGGACATGTGGAACGTAGGGAGGCTGCCAAGAACAGATTTAATGAGAGTGAGACGGCCCCCAAACGAAAAAGATATGTCTTTCCAACTTGATAATTTGGAAGATATTTTGTCAATAATTGGTTTCTAGTTCTTCTTCAGTGTCATGTTAGCACCCACCGGAACCCCCAGGTAAGTGAATAGAATAGTCTCAGACAAATTTGCATTTGATACTCCCGCACCGAATAAACGCGATTTGAAGAAGTTAACTTTTAGCCCTGAAGATATATCGAAACATTTTAGGATGCGGGACAAGTTTTTAATGTTGTCACGATCTCATTCCCCAACGAATATCGCATCGTTATCATAGAATAGATGTGAAACGGAAGGACCATCTCTTGGTAGTTTGACCCCACGAATTAGAGATTTTTCACAGGCACTCTTAATAGCAATATTTAGTCCTTCCATGGACAAGATGAAGAGAAATGGTGATAGTAGATCACCTTGATGGACCCCTCTGGATATTGGAAATCCTTCGGTTAGAGCATCGTTCACCAAAATTGATGCTTTTGATGAGTATAAACAACACAATATCCATTTCCTCCATTTGCAGCCAAATTTCATTTGACCCATGACAGAGTCCAAGTGCCCCCAGTTTATGGAGTCGAAGTATTTTTTTGAAATCAACCTTGGATAGCATTTTTTTTCTTTTTGTTGTTTTGCCCATTGTAATAATAATTCATTCATTACCAGAGGCTCGTCGAGTATGTATTTGCCTTGAATGTATGCCGACCGACCCAATCATCTGTTTCAATCTGATTGCAAGCAACTTAGCCACCACCTTATACATGCATCCAATAAGGTTGATGGGGTGATAGTCCACTGAGAGTTAATGGATTAGACACTTTTGGGATGAGAGTGATATTAGGTTTATTGTTTGTAATGGTTGAATTTTATGAAACTTAATTAGAAACCGGGTACCTGATACCGGAATCGGTCCTGGCGGTTTCGGATTTGGTTCCAAAATCTAAGGAATCGATGTAATTGGTTACAGTTCTAGTTCCAAAGTTTCAATATTCGCTTATGCTCACCCCTAGTTACAATGTAGCTTGGAGGCACAATGAATTGGACGACATTTGAATAACAAAAAACGTCAACCAAAAGATTAAAAGTTTCCATTAAACACTGAAATCTAACACGTAACCGCAACCAATCGAAAAGTTACCCCAAACTGAAAGCCACGTCAGTAAACAACAACGTAGCAAAGACTATTATACCCAAATAATGCTTAATTAGGCACGTCCCATAATATATGTGTTTTTATCCTTATAACAACTTAGCAAAAGTCATCTTATAAAAGTTATATAGGATATAGATAACAATTATATATCAAATGTCATAATGACATAACTACAAATTTAAATTCCATATCTATTTTGTATTTTCTTTGTAATGCAAAAAAGGTTGGACGAAGACTCTTTATTAATTTCTCGTCTATAAAATAATATCCATGTCATCTATTTATAATCATCATAAAAAATAATATCAGAAAGTTTGTCCTATATGGTCTTATACAATATTATAATGATTAACAAATATAACATAAATATTAATACACATCAAATCATTACTTTATGAACTCGAATGTACGAGCATCTCTAATGGTTATCATATATTATCACTAAAAATTATTACCACCTTATCATTCAATTAATTTTAACTTATAATTAAATAACCTTTCCAATGGTTAACCTCTTTCAATAATTTTTTTCTTTAATTTTATATAACCTATCCTTATATGTTTAAATTGTTCTTTAAAATCCCCTCCATTTAATTAATCATTTTTAAACACATATTATATTTTAAAGATATTGAATGCCACAAACAAACAAAAATATAAATAAAAGTATACCGCGTCTTTATTTTATAAACGTAAAATATGAAATTTTTTGCGGCATAGTTATAAAAAAAGACTAAAAATATTATATAATCATTAAAAATTTATATTTCATAAATAAAATGTTATTAAATATTTGATAGAAATAATTAACTTGTAAATAAATTACAAATATTTAAAACTAAAATACAATTAAGGAATAAAAAGAAATATGATTAGAAGATGATGTGGTTAAATAAACTAAACATGAAAGTATATTGACCACTCAATATATATTGAGTGGTCAATAGAAAAAAAACAAATAAACTTATTGTTTCAATGGTAATAAGTATGGAAATCTATGTCTATAGTATACTATAAAAGATACATTTTCTTTTTGAAAATCTCATTAATAATCACTTGGCAACTTTTTTCGAGAGTTACTCATGCATGGAAATTTTGACATTCAGTTTTTCAATTATTTTAAACAATGGTTTGCTAGCAACAAAGGCCACACAATATGGTTTGAAAGATTGTAAAAATTAGTTCCCATTTTAAAATACATCTAATAATGTATCTGGCCTGCATTGGGATATGGATAGGATCTAACAAATGACAAATAAGAATAACTTGAAAAGCCAAATGTCTATCTGTTTCTGGCATAATGGTTTTACTACTTTAGTCCTGAGGTATATAATGTTGGATCATAATTGAAATTCTAGAATTTTCATTTCGAGAAATAAAAAGTAGATGATAACCATTTAAGAGCGTGTTAAAAGTGCATACATCTGGTAATATATCTCATTTGAAGCCATAGCCTAAGACTGCATCTTTGTCATTTCATCGAACACTTGGAGGGCATCATCGAGGTTGGTAACCAGTGTTTGACTATTGGTAAAAGCTGTTGACTGAAACGAAGCTGAAACTGCTTTGGGGGTAAAGTTTTCAGGTTCTGATTGTAAAAATGATGAAGGATGTGTGAATGAAAGGAGGGGGGAGTGAGTTTTGAATTTTGTTGAGAGGATGAGAGACGACAAAAGACGCAAGATTTTTTGGTTTAGTCGTAAGCAGCATAACCATCGTTCAACCAGTGGCGGAGTTAGATGGGGCGTTGGGGTATTACAGTACCCCCAAAAAATTGTTTTATATATATATAAAATATTATTTGTAAACATGTTTCATGTTATTGTACCTCCAACTAAAAAGATTATAACATGTTTTTTTAATGTCCGATATTGGATAACTACATATAATATATTGATAATGTTTGTACCCCATATCAAAATTCTGGTTTCGGAGCTTCAACTACTTGGGAAGGGAGACTGCTGCTTTTGATGATACAAAAGAAACGAAAGAAAAATGACCCGACCCGGTTAGAACTTGTAACTTTTACCATTTTTCTTATCAGTTTGCAAAACTTATAAGAACTTAAGTAGGTTTTTTTCTAATTTTTTTTAGTTTACCTCATAATTTTTATGCAACTTGTTTTACCATGATTCCATGTCTAAAGCCACAACACCAAACTTACAAAACAGGTTCTTGTGTTTTTTCTCGGTCTATATTTGCTAGAAACATACTTTTATTATTATTATTATTATTATTATTATTATTATTATACAAAAATATGTGTTTGTGTATGATTGTTTTTATATTCACCCTAAGAATTTAGGGGAATTGAATGAATGGTTATTTAAATACTTGTCGTTATTTACATTGGTTTTTAAAAAGAAATTTACAAATCAAACATGAGATTTAAATTGTGATTTTATTCATTACATGTCAAACAAATAACCATTTGGATAATCATATTGACCCATGTTCAAAACCTTACACTACTCATCCTATATGGTAATGAAAGTTCGTCTGCAGTGACTCAAAGACATGATGCATAACCTTATGTTTGCAGTGAAAGATTAGTCGGTATGCGAAAAATGACGCAAAACTATCGTTACGGAAGTTCCATTTCCAAAAACAAACATATGATTTGAACATATAGCATTCTATTCAATCACGTTTTAATTGATTTCCTTTAATATTTCTATTCCATTAGAGAATTTTATAATCCAAACAATAAAGTGTAGAATTCCTTTATAAACCAAAATATTGATAAGAAATATCATTTGTAGCTCACACCGATTTGACCACATCGAAGATTCAAAATGACTAAATCAGATAAAAAGTAGGTTATAATATTATCAGACTAGATCAACGGTATGTATTAATAATATTTTTGTACACGAGTCAACCTTAAACAAATGTCTTTAACACAAATAAACCAAGAATGGTCTTTTTTTTACAATGGCCAAACCGGATAAATACATTTTATGTGGAAATGTTTCATTATTTTGGAAATTTTTATATAAAATTTATAAAATTCTATTTTTTAAACAGAAAAGTTCTAATTATTTAATATTTTGCTCAAATTAATGAAAAAATATTTATTTTTATTTTAACAAGAAATACCGTGTAAATTAAATAATCAAGACTAGTCTATTCAAAAAAAAATTTGACTTTATAAAAAATTATCAAAATAATAAAACATTTCTAAAAAAAAGACTCCGATAAATAGCCCATATTAATGACTTACAAACAAGAAATTAAATGAGGACTGAAAGTATATATTTAGAAAACAAGGGGATTATAGTTGCATAAATTCGATACCTTATGGGTAAAACATGTCAATCTTAGAAAAACTAACCTTGATATTCCATGTCTACCTCCCTTTCGCAGACACCCACATAGTCAAAACCTTCCGCCATGGACGACATCTCCGTACAGAAGATTCAAATCTCCGGCACAACCCTTGCTTCCTTGATCCAGCGTGTTTCCTCCTCCGTCGGCGATGTCGATGGTCTACTCTTCGGCCGTGTAACTCACATAACCCCTTTAACTCTCTCCGACGATTCTTCCGCTTCCGCCACTGCCACCACCTCCGATCAATCAACTCTCATCGCCACCGTCACCTCATTCTACTCCTTCACCTCTACATCCACATTCTACTCCTCATCCGGCTACCTCGACACACCAACGCTCAACAACCTTCTCTCCACTTCCTCATCCTCCGACGATCGCCTCATCGGATGGTTTTCTGGCCGCCGTAAAACTAACCTCCGGCCATCCATGAGAGAAAGCTCCGTCACCTCTGCTCTCGCATCCAATACCCAGTTCTCCTCCCAAGTCCAAAACTCCCCCAAATCTCATACTTTCCCCCCTTGCATCTTCTTCCTCCTAACGACGCCGTTCCATGACCAATTAATCCACACTCACGAATACAAAGCTTTCCAGTTCCAATCATCAACCGATTCCTTCGACCCCAAAACCCTAGACGTGGTGAATTTGGGTCCAGCTTTCCGGGGTCATTACAGTGATTTCACACCCAAATCCCCATTTCCCGATCTGCCATTTGAGGTGAAGGGATTAAATTGCGAGTCTATGGTTGAAGATTTGGGTAAAAAGGAGAATGAAAAGTTCGAAAAATTATGTGACCAAGGGTTGAAAATCGAAAGATTGAAAAATCTAATGGGTTTACAGGCATCTAATTATACTGCTGAATTGGAAGAGCTGTATAATTCAATGCTTAAGAAGTTGAATGGATTAGCTAAGCTTGTTGAACAATCGTCTGCTAGGGTTCTTGAACAGGTTAGTTTATGTCTCCAATTGTTATAACCTATAAGCATTTAAAATTAACAATTTTTATGTCTTATCAATGATTTTTGTTGAAATATTTACAGGAAAACCATAATATGAAGTTGAGGTATAAAGTTGCAGGATTTGAATGATGCTTGAAGATCATCATGTGTTGTTTTTGCTCCTTGAGGTAAACCTTTCAGTTACAAATCCTTGATTCATTTGGAAATGGAATCTATTTCTGATTAGATGCAATAACATTTCACTTTTTTTTCCCAATTGATGCAATAAACTTTTTTTTTTATACAAAATAGGTTAAGATGTTTCATTTTATGGCCAAAAGATGCAATATTATCACTTATCAGTAATCTGTTTAATTGGTTGAAACGTGATTGCATAATTGTGTCAGTTTTATAAACCAAACAACATTGTTGCATAAATTGGGGAAAAATTGAAATCTTTGTAGTAAAATTGCTTTATAATTGGATAACATTGAGTTTTATCAAAGTATAGCGTTATAATAGGAAGAAATGAAACAGTTAAGCTTTTTTTCAAATTTGCTTTTAATCATTGATGTTCAGACTTTAGACAATCTTTCTTTTGTTATAGTTTAAGTTTCTCTCATTGTACTTTAAATATTTTTTTAAGGATAAATGTAAGAAATATCAACATAGTTTCATTTATTTGTTAATGTATTTAATTATTATTTTTTGTTTAGGGTTATGGGAAGTGAAGTTGAAACTTGAAACCAGAAGCTGGTTTTGTAAAATTTTAGTTATGAAGCAGCTGCTGTGGATTTGGTTGCTTTGGGGAAAAAGAAAAACGTGGGATTCATGATGTGTATAAGTAAGTTATTATGGATTGTATTTATTTATAAACCACTAACAAGTTTTCTTTGTGATTTGAATTGAATTTGAATCTATTCAATGTCTCAAAAGAGTCGGAGATTGGATGTTATTTTGTATTTTTGGAGGGAAATTGTTTCCTTTTGTTGGTTTCAAATTGCAACTTTTTAAGCATCTTTTGGCTTTCTTGAATCTTGTTATTGGCAATGTGATGGTAGTTTAACACAATGAACTATTTAAACTTTTCAAAAATACAACACCCAAACTATAAAAATGTTATGAGAAGGAAAGTTACTACTAGTGCATGTACATTTTATAGTTGGTTTAGTAAATTGAAAGGTTAAAGTTATGAATGAGTAAGAAACCATTTGAATTGTTCAAAAAACATTGTTAAACAAAATACGTTAACACATACATCAGCAATCAAAATTCACATTATAAAATCGAATTCCCAAAAGATAGATCCACTTGAATCTAATAAACTAACCAACAATCAACCATAGGGGTTTCAAGAAAATACATTTTAGTTGATTTCTTGATGATTTTGATGCAGAGACATTGTTAAAAAACGTTGAACAACTCTCCTTGAATTTCCTTATATATCACTTTAATGTTTTTTTTCATCATACTATTAACTTAGTCAATAACCCAAGCTCATAATTAATAACTAGAATTAATTAATTAGTCAATATTCTATAACCAATAATAAATAATTTTTTATTCATCATTGATTAGATAATATATAAAAATAGATATTTTATTTATTTATTTATATTGATTAATTAATAATAACATTTATCACATATAAATAATATTTATTTGATGTGTTATTAATCTTTATGTGTTTATATATAATTAACCGTGTAATTAATTTATTTGTTTCTTGCACATAAATCCAAAGATATGGGTTATGGTGGCAGCGGTTGTGAATAATTTTTGTAGTGCTCAAGGGTCTCTTTTGAACAATTTAAATAGGGAAAATTTCATTCATAGTCCTCATAAACTCTCAATATCAAAAGAGAAATTGATATTGTTATTTTGCACAAAAGAGAAATTGAATGAAAATCTCTATCAAAATTGTTATTTAGGTCTTGAAGTTAATATCATAAATTGACAACAAACTATTCAAAGGTAAGTTACTATTACAATTGCTCAAAAAAAATTCCATAATAAACTTATATATTGAAAGGTTAATGTCATATATTGAACAATTGTAATAGTAACTTACCTTTGAATAGTTTGTTGTCAATTTATGATATTAACTTCAAGACCTAAATAACAATTTTGATAGAGATTTTCTTTCAATTTCTTTTTTGTGCAAAAGATTGAAAAGCCTTCCTCATCTTTATTGTCAGAAACGGCTCTAAAAACGCTTGTCTAGTCTCATTGTCTCAAGGACCATGGTCGTGTGAAAACTAATATCGTTAGTCATGATAGATCTGATTGTATTATGTTTGATTTGTGTTGGATTTACACAGATATCAATGAGACAAAAAGTACAATTATGTGTTGCACCCAAAAAGGTGAGACAATCACCCACTCTTCATCTTTCATGTGTGCAAAAGATGTGTATGTCATACTCATCCTTATTATAAAAAATAGGCCAAAAAAGATTCTCTACTCTCATCCAATTTAGCCCAATCATATTCTCTCATGTCATGTCCTATGTATCAAATGCAGCAGCCCTCATCACACTGTTGTGTTAGAACCAATGGTTTAGTCATTGATAAAAATCGTCACAATTGAAGAAGTGAATCTAGAGAATATGATGCAAATAATCAAACTAGATATAACGATGCTTTTGGAATAAATAACGTAACAAATACGATAATCAACAATTATTACATATGAAAACTGTACAATATATATACATGTAACAAAAGGAGTTTCATTTTGAGTTAACATACTTTCTTCCCTCTTGTTATCCATGGTTACCTAAAAATCGTTTTTAGATGTATACTTTCGTTTATCGATCCATTCGGGCTTATATTCTTTAACTTTTGTGTTCTTTAAAGGTCCCCCCTTTGTGTTCTCAACTTGTGTTCTTGAAAGGTCGCTTCAAATACATTTTTTGTATCTAAAAACCCCAATTGTATGCTCAAATTTCCTTCATATGATTATTGCAAATGTCAACATACTTTTCTCTCTCTCTTCATATAAAGATTTTTCAACATAACTAACTCATCATCATCATCGATTATCTTGATCTTGATCTTTATTGGTTTCAGAGTAAACAAGTTTCCATGGTCCTTTCTTTGTTCCTAACCTAACAAGTAACACACATCAAATAAAAATAATTGAATCTTTTATTTTTTTTTAATAATTAATAAAATGTCAAAACTATTATTACCTCAATATTCCAGCCACTACACGCAATGTCATAAATAAAAACAATCCTGTCCAAACTCCATAAAGACCAAATTGAGGAACAACAAGAAGAAAGAACAAACAAGTTCCTAATCCAATCACCACCTTCAAATTATACATCAAACACCCAAATAAAAATCTTTTTTTTTTTAAATACAAAAAAGAGGTTTTAGATAATTGTATAAAAATAGAAAACACACCATGGAATATGAAGCATATCCAAAATCCAAAACTCCATAGTATAGCCCATCAAGAACAAATGCTATAGCATTCATCGGTTGAGATACAGCTACAAACTACATTATAATTTTTTTAATGAAACCAAAATTACTAAAAGGTCCTTGAATATAAAAATAATTATAAAATAAGTTTCTTACCAAAGTACCAGATCTTGCAATATTTAGAACTTGTAAATCTGTGGTAAATAAAGAAGATAATTGTCCAAACCCTAAGAACAACACAAAAGCCAAACTACCTCCAGATATTAATCCAATCTAATCAAAAAACAAAAATTTAGATTATTTTATTAGCAATATAATTTTTGTAAGTTAAATTAAAAACCAAAAAAGAATAATATATATTCTTAACCTTAAGAACTCTGTCTATTACTCTACGTGCTTCACCATAGTTCTTTTGTGAATAACTACTTGCAAGAATTGCCTATAAAACAATATAATCAGACAACTACAGGACAAAATAGAACAACAGCAACCTTGTACAGTTGTACTAGGTTAGTTTTTAAGGTTACCTGTCCTGCAAGTGCTAAAGCATCAGTAAGCAAAGAAAGAGCCAACCAAACTTCTAAACAGATCTGATAAGCAGCCATGGGAATAGAACCTTCTCTTGCAGCTATTGATGTAGATAAAGTCATAGTTACAAGAACAGCAAAACTCCTCCACATTAAAAGCCCCCCTAAGAAATCACTTAATCCATTAAGCTATATATATATATATATATATATATATATATATATATATATATATGGAAAATGGAAAAGTTATTATTTTTTTGACTTGATACCAGATTTTAAATATCGAGCAATTTTATCTCCATCTACATTTGGAGTAACAAGTTGTACTTCTTGATTTAGTTTCCAAAGTAGGATGAATGCAATCAGATATCTGTTCAAGATTTCAACAATGTGAATTTTTTTTTCAAGGATTATGTAATGAAAGTTAAAAGAAAGTGAAAAAAAAGGATACATACTCAGAAATTACCGTTGCGATTGCAGCTCCACTAATTCCAAGTCCAGAAAAGAAAATGAAAATTGGATCCAATATGGCATTTACCAAATTTCCAGCAGCTGTAATAATGTAATTATAATGTTAATATGTAAATGAAAATGTAATTTGGAAAAAAGATGTAATACTTGCCAATAGCATATAGAGGAGTTTTAGTATCCTTAAAGCCACGAAAAGTTCCTTGAGCAGCTAAGGCTAATACAATTGCTGGAGCTCCAAATGCTCTAATGGAAGTAAACTGTTGTGCTGGTATTCTCATTGGTGAATCCTGAAATAAAAGATTACCAAATATACCCTTTATCAGTTACAATGTAAACAAGATTTGGTGTAGATATGTTTCAATAAGTGTATGAATAGTTGTAAAAGACGTACAACAGGTATACCCATGGTGTTCAATAGTGATCCAGACCCAAAGAAAAGTGCTATGGTTTCCCCAATCCCAAAAGCAGCAGCTAAGGCTAAAGAAGTTGAAACAGATGGCAGAAACTTCTTCTTACTTCCACCCATGCTATCTAAACAAAAAAAGAAAAAAGAAAGAAAAAAGAACATTCATTAGGTTATGTAAGAGTAAGAAACAAGTAGTTATGGATACAGAAATTGGAATTACCATGGCTGAGAGAAGTGGAAACATCATCATCATCATCACCCTTGACTAATACTGCTTGTTCTTCAGCAACAAATGAGGTTGTGATATTGAGTAGGGGAATATTAAACAACTTTGCTACCAGGTTAAATATTGATATGGAAACACCAACAGCAGCCAATTCAGTAGAGCCTAAAAGAAGGAGTAAGTAGATGCATCAGATGCTTATATGAGAATTGTATGATTTTTTTGGAGAAAACATTGTAAATTGAAGAAACTTAATAAGATGCGTTGTAATGAGAATGAGTTTTTAGTTTTTACCTAAATGACCAACAAATGCAGTATCAACGAGTGAAGTAATTGGATCAGCAGCAAGAGCTAATGCAGCTGGCAATGCAATCGACATGATCTCCATTCCAAGTTCATCTAACTTAAGCTTCTCTCTGCACTCCAAAACAGATCAACACAACTAAATCACACATACTTGATACTGCCTAAATCAACTCGTTTAAAACTGCAACTAGAATTCTCGGATATTTAAAATCGATTGTACAAGTTAGACAAATGTGAAGAAATATTACCTAAAACTTTGAATCAACGATGCGAATGGCTTGGATGAAGTCGAACTGGAAGGTGAAGAAGGTGCGACTTCATCCAAGTTCTCGTCGTCATCATTTGAATCAATTTGGGATATAAATCCGGGTTTTTCTAGCGGGCGTTCTGGGGATGAGGTGCTAGGGTTTTGCCTGGATGATGATTTGGGTAGGTTTCGAAATCGAATTGAACAGTCAGGGATTTGTGTGAATGATTGAACTCTGAAACAGCGATTATCATGTTGAAAATTTCGTGAACGAATAAGAAGATGATTGTGGTGAAAGAGACAGATGCTGCTCATAATTTACAGAATCTTAGAAGGGGAAGAGCAACCGGAAACCAGATACAGAATTTGTTATCAACTAATTTTAACGGCTACAATGTAAAGGACTTCCATTGAAATATCTCCGCTCAATTTCTATGTTAACTAAGAAGCCACTCAACTATGTATTTCTTTTTGCTACGTAAGCGTTTTTTTTTTTTTTTTTTTTTTTTTTTTTTTTTTGTGGATATTCATTAAAATTACCATATATTGGATCTTTATATTTTCCATACAACTTTCATTTTCTATGTATTTTGTCTCTTTCACACAGAAAGATCAACCTATTTTTTAAACATATGGATTATCGGTTGACAATTTGCTCCCATTGCAAATAAGTAATCAACAATCTTTTGATTTTAGTACATTTAACAATTATAAATGCTTTAAGAATATATTTGTGAGTAGGTTTTAGCCTTTTGTATAACATAGTAAATTTAAAGTTGTTGTAGCTTTAGAATACGTTACCATTTCCATTACTAAAACTAAAGTAGTGTTAAGATGACACTCATTAGTCATCAACGTGAATCATGAACACGTTTGTAAGTGTAAAGCAACAAGTTTGTAATGGTGCAGACTATCACATGGGTGTTTTTATCGCAAGTGTTTGATAATATTCATGTGGGTGTAAATGTATATTGCGATTGTGTAACTATATTTTCACGAGTGTTCCAATTTCCATCTATATTTTCTAAAATATCATTTGAATCAGCATTAGTTATTAGTAGATCCTATTGACCATCAATAGTAAGGTGTTCTTTATGGAGTGATGATATCCCTTTAATGCTCTTTATAGTTATGTTATGCACATAACACAAGCAATTTAACATAATCAAAGCTACATCAACATCATAGCAACCGTCAAAAAGGGTGTATTTCATGTAACATGGTCAACGTTGGAAAGGGGGTAGTGAAAGGTAAAAGTAAGGTAAACTATAGCGGCTTTTGTGTACTTTTCCATAAATTTAAATCTTGAAATTAGTTATGTGAGGCTTTTGTTTTTTACTTTAAAATGTTCAAATTTCATGTAGGATATAACAAGACATTGCAAGTAATTTGATTATTTGAGTCGATTGTCCCTAAATTAGCTAATGAATATTGTTGAAAAACCATCCTTAAAATTGAAGAAAATTTTAATATAACTACCACTAACACAATTAACTTATACAATGGTAATAAGGTATGTTTGTCTTTAAAACAAACAGAAAGCTAATGTTGTTTTTACATAAAAGAATATGACTAAAATAAAAAACAAAATTAATATAGTTACGACCAAAAAGGCTGCCAAAAGAGAACATTATCAGGGTTTCATCTTTTTCCAAATGCAAAATAATGAAGCTCAAACCAAAGTACAACACTCAAGCCGCAAAGTACATGCAAGTAAAGCATTATTACCCAATTCATGGCTAATCAAACACATGCTAAGGATAATGGAATAAAATCTTGTACTACAAGGAATAAAATCATGCATCTTCAGTGTTCTCTTCTTCCTTTTCAGATGTTCTTTTTGTCTCATGTTGTTCTTCAAGTTACTATAAATACGAAAACAGCCGATAGAAGATGCCAAAAATGGGTGGAGATCATCAGAAGACGGCGGAGAAAAGGGTGGTGAAAGGGTGCATCAAGTCGGGAAAAGGACCATGGGTGGTTCAGCGGACCACCAAAGACGGCCGTGTCATCACCAGATACCGGTTTCCCTCCGACAGGGAGAGGCTGAAGAACCGTGAAAGGGAGAGAAACCGGCGAAATGTTGCTCGGAAAATCTTTTCTGGGCTGCGGACTTTTGGAAACTATCAACTCTCAAAGAACGCTGACACCATTGATTTACTGAAAGCAGTTTGTGAAGAAGCTGGTTGGCATGTTGAAGAAGATGGGACGATTTATAAGAAGGTACTGTGTTTCTTTATTTATTCTTTTAGTTTCTTGGATCTCGTTTCTTTTTATATGTTATTAACTCGAGATTAATTAATTATAATTTCATGTTTATATATGGTGTTTGATCAAGAAGGTGTTGCATGATGAGGATGGTGGTTATTGCACTTGTGATGACAAGATGGATACTTATATGGAATCAAGATCGAAGATGCATCCTCAGAAAGACCATGATGATTTCAATGTCACACTTTCTCTCACGTTGGCTAGCTAGTTAGAAACTAGGGTTTTGCATGGTGTTTTAAAGAATATTGATGTTGTTAATTAAGTGATCTGCAATTCAGAAAAAGAATAGAAATTTCGTATTTTTTAAGTGTTAATGCATTATACGAATTCAATTCATACTCTGTTACTAATGGATGCAACTAAAGCTTGTTTGATGGTGGAATGAAAATAGTTTTATATTTCTTTTTCCCCAGAAAACTTGATCCAACATTTTCAAAACATATTTTTCTTTTAAACAAAAATAAATAAGTAATTATTATTATTATTATTATTATTTTTATCATTTAACAAACCAAGTCCTACAGTGGTCAACAATATGCTGTCGTTGTAGACTGTAGTAGTAGGCTGGTAGCCTAATAGGATTGTTGGAATTTGGCCTCGAGAAACAATTGACCAATATTTTTTTGAGTTGACCTACTGCGGCGACGGTTGCTCATGTAGGTGTTTTCTGTATTAACAAAATTAAATAATTTAATAAAAGTAATATCTAAGAGAGAATTTCAATATTAGAAATAAATATTAGAGTTTAAGACTGAGTTTTTTAAGAGAGTTGTTGGAGATGGTAGTGGCTGGAAAGATGTTTGGTGTGGAGATATTCTTTTGAAAGACTTGTTTCCAAATTTGTATGCTTTAGAGACGAACAAAAATTGTTTTATTTTAGATAAATGCAACAATGAGAATGATGTTGGTTCAAGATAGATTTGGAGCTGGTTCAGGCAGCTTAGGAGAGGTAGGGAGGCTGTCCAATTTTCAGATTTAATTGTTTTGCTTGACAACTTTCCGTTTGTTGGTGGAACGGACATGTGACGTTTGGAATGGTGATGATGCTGGTTATTTTTCTGTTAAAGCGCTTTGTGCCTTGATTGATAAACATGATAGTGTTGAGTAGAATTCTTTCAAGTGGTTGAATTTGGTCCCTTTAAATATTAAATGTTTTGTTTGGAGATTATTTAAAAACAAGATCCCTCTCTTTCAAAACCTTTTGAACTCTGGTATTAATGTTCATTCCTCCTTATACCCTTTCTATTAGATTAGCATCGAGACTCTAGATCATGTCTTATTCAACTGTGATGTCGTGAAGGTTTTATGGAGTTGGCTTCAGGGGCGGATTTACGGTAGCATGGGGTAGCACGGGCTACCCCTCAAAATTTCCCGTCAAATGTAAATTTAGTGAAAATTCGTCATAAATACGTTGGAAATCCGTCACAAATCCGTCACGAATCCGTTAGCAATCCATCACAAAGTCTGATAATTGTGAATTTTGTGTAAATCATCAGTTTATTGGTGATTTTGTGACGGGAACTACCTTCAGAAATGAGATTTTTTTTCTAATAGTGCAACCCTAAAAAATTATGCAACCCCTGACTTTTCTTTCTGGATCCGCCATTGGTTGGCTTGTGGGGTGGGTTGCGGTTATCAAGAATCCTCCTTATTCGTGCGAGGATCTTCTGGAGATGTTTAATTCTAAGGCTACTGACAAAAAAAAATTCAAAAGCTTAAGGTGGCGATCACTTATTCCACCTTATGGGTCATTTGGAAAGCATGTAATGATATTGTTTGCAGGAACGTTTGGCGAACTTCGATGCTTTTGGCGGGTGATATTTGCATTAGCATATTTAATTGAATTAAATTTAGATCCAAGTTAGGTTATCTTGATTGGTCGATTTGGTGTACTTCTCTTATTATGAATGTTCTCTTATACCCGATTTCTTATACCCGGTTTGACTCTTTGTATTTGGCTTAAGCTTCTTGCTTAAGTCTTTTTGTTTCATGCTAATGATATTGCTCGCCGTTCAAAAAAAAAGATCAAATTAGAAGCGGTATATATTCAATAAGCACAATCTCATTTCTTCTTTATTCTCCTTCACCTAGGAAATCGTATTCCATCGATTTCCATTGTTTTCTATATTTTTAAATGAATTTATAAGAAATATAACCGACTTAAATAATATTAAAATTAATAAAAGTGATTTTTTAACATTAATTTAAATTAAAATAGTCAAAACTACATAATAATAATAATAATAATAATAATAATAATAATAGTTATTCTAGTAAATAAATATTTTTTTTGTCACATATCACACTTTCATTTATCTTGTCATATGTCATTTTGTGGTTATTTTAAAGGACAAATTGCAAGAAAGTCATTATATTATCACGGAATTTTGATTTTGACACCATGTTATTTTTTCGCAATTATGTCACTATATTTACAATGTTGTTGCAATATCAACCAAATGACTGGTTGTCCATGTTCTCTCGGTAACCACTTTTCCTGAATTGTAATTAAGTCGCTAAGTTTAACAAAATTTCGATTTTGACACTGAGTTTCAAATTGCAAGAAAGTCACTATATTACCACAATTTTTATTTTAAACCGAGTTTTTTTCTCAATTATGTCATTACATTTACAATTTTTTTTGCACTGTCAACCAATTGACCGATTGAGGAGATGTTATTATGGTTTAGAAGTTTGATTTAAAAGCTTAATTTATGCAACACATAAATGAAGATCGATCCAGTGGTTTAAACTCACTTACAAATGAGCGAAAATGGCATGGTCATCCTTTCAGGAGATGTTATTGTGTTTAGAAGCTCGATTTGTACAATAAGTAAATGAAGACCCCTACAAGGTCGATCTAAGATCCCATACAATGTCGATTTATACAACAAATAAATGAATACCCCTACAAGGTCGATTTATTTGTACAACAAATAAATGAATTGTTGGGTTTTTATTAAAAAAATAGTCTAAAATAAATAGTCAATTGAGAGGTTTCTAGTGAGCAAAAAAATCAAGCAACTCCTCATCTAAAGCCTTTTAAATATAGGGTTTGCATCGAACCCAATTTCACATATCTTTTTAGGTAGATCATGTGGTTCAAGGTCACTTAAAAGTCAGCGAAAAGGGCGTACGCACCCTTTTAGGTGAAACTTTTTATTATAATGTTTAATGTGTAGTTCTTGTCGAAGTATTTCTTCACAAATGACATCTAAAGGTAAATCTCGTGGTTCAAACTCATTTAAAAGTCAGTGAAAATGGCGTGCTCGCCCTTTCAAGAGATGCTATTGTGGTTTAGAAGCTCGATTTGTACAATAAGTAAATGAAGACTCCTACAATGTCGATTCAAGAGATCCTTAGTGCGTTTGAACCATTAAATCGACCTTATAGGGGTCTTCATTTAATTTTTGTACAAATCGGGCTTCTAAACAACAATAGCATCTCCTGAAAGGGTGACTATACCCTTTTTACTGATTTGTAAGTGAGTTTTGAACCATTTGACCGACCTTTATTTATTTTTTGTACAAATCGAACTTCTAAATTGAGCTTCTAAACCATAATAACATCTCCTGAACTGGTTAATTGGTTGGCGTTGCAAACAAAATTAGATATATAATAACATAATTGAAAAAAAAAACTCGATGTCAAAATCCAAGTTTTGTGGTAATATAGTGATTTTTTTTGCAAATTTATATCGATGTCAAAATTGAAATTTTGGTAAAATTTAGTTACTTTATTGAAATTTGGGAAAATTGGAAGAACGGTCATTTGGTTGATATTGTAAAAAAATGTAATATAGTGACATAATTACGAAAATAATAACTCAGTGTCAAAATAGATTTTTTGTGGTAATATAGTGATTTTTTTTTTGCAATTTGCCTTATTTTAAATTAAGTTTTATCCACATGTCATTTTATGATTTTTTTTTTCTATTTTATTAAATTTAACATAATACTTACATGTAATAATTATAATAAATATAATAATAAATGTACATCAATTTGATTAATGCAACTTTCTTTGTAATTTAAAAGTTTCTAAATTAAACCCTAATTATTTCATTTGTTTATTTATTTAAATTATTTTTTTAAATTTTAAAAAAATAAGCACTTCAATTTCAATAATTAAATATTTTTCTTACTTTCCTTATAAATTCAAACTACTAAATGTTTAGGCATTCATATTTAACTTTTTTTAAATAAACTTGTATAGTACACGAGTTTCACAACTAGTAATAATTATAAAAGCAAACTAAAACATAAAAATAAATTATAAAAATTCACTTTGAATCGTTATCTGAATTTTCGTCCTATTGTCATTTGAATCCTATCCAAATCCATGTCTAGGTCATATAAAAGCAAGATACAATTTCACAAATGGTCAAAATGTTTTTCAAATTTTCCTTAATATAGTCTTTATAAAATCTTTTTTGCATGGATAGTTTTTTGGAGCAAACCTTGCACTCAAGTGGTCCCTTTCGACAAAATTTAGCACACTAATGGCCATTGTGATTAACTTTGTTAACAAATTTTGTTAAATGGTTATGAAATGGCAAAAATACCCTTATTTCCTATACCTTTCCCCCTCTCCATCTCTCAACATTCACAACCACCATCACCGACTACCACCAACCCACCACCACCGCCCACCTACTGCCATCACCACCATCTGCCTACTGCCACCACCAACGTCTGTCTACTGCCACCTCCGACATGAAACACCAATACCACCTCCGACATCAAATACCATCGCCACCACCACTGCCATTAACCACCAATACCTCCAAATTAATTATATCTTGTACTACTATCCATGACATTAATATCAAAATTACATCGGTAGGTTTCCGACGAGAATCCATTGCCCATGTAGCCACAAATCCATTGATTTAAGTTCCCGTTATTTACATACTCATAAAGAAGAATCATGTAATCCCAAATTAAGAATTGAATCAAAATCAATGCACAAATCAAAATTAAGCAAAAGGAAACTAGTACCTATGTGCCCCTTCTGCCCATAAATTATGGTATGGAATGAGAGGATGAAAGATTATGATGTGAGTTGGAGGAAGAAATTAGAAATCAACGATTATTGAGTAAATTCTTGATAACGATTTGAGATTTATCAACAAGAACACCCACCAAAAAATCGCAGCCCCTTCTTATTTTAAGCTGAATCACTGGTCTAATTCTCTCAAGATCGATTGCAACTCCTTCTATCTTCTGAATCGACATCATAGGTGGATGCGCAAGATGATAATAATTAGTGGGGGTGAAGGTGAAACAGTGTTGTCCGGTGATGATGATGAGATTGCGAACAAAATACGACGAATTTGGTGTCGGAAAAAAATCCTCTGTTTAGACTTAATCATCACCATTGCAACACTCAAACCATCACCATCTCAACCCCTATTCTTCATTGGTTTCAGTTCGTTGAAAACAACCAAAGAGGGGGAGCAGTGAGACCTAGGGTAGAGGTGAAGATGGAGAAGGTTCTTTGAATGTCGATTTCCAGATCTGGAGAAGGTGGTGTTGAACGGTAGAGACAGAGATGGAGGCGATTCAATTGTGTTGGTGGACGGTGGTGAAAGTAAGCGGATAGTAATGACGGTAACAGACGATGGTAGTAGTAGAGGGGCAATATAATATTTTCATGTTAGATTTAACAGAAAAACTAACGGTATTAGCCATAAGGATTGTTTACGTGCATGCTCCAAAAGGACCTTCCATGCAAAAAAAAAAAATCATAAAGACTGTATTAAGAAAACTTGAAAATCATTAGGACCATTTGTGAAATTTTGTCAAAGCAATACGATGGATGCAGCAAAATGAAATAAAAAATAGAGTTCGAATGAAAAACAAATTTAAGGACGAAAGTTGCAATCTTTTAGCAAGTATTGAACTCATAACAAAATTTAAAGTATATATTTTTACGAAATTTTAATGCGATTGAAATAAAAACATATTCAATGATAAAAATCATATCTCTACATCACTACCAAAAAGTAATATATATCTGGGATTGAGAAAAGGGAAAGAAATGGTGGTAGTAAGTTGATCTTATACTTATTTTTAAAGATTTAATTTCCCTCTCATTTACCAAACTACAATATACAACAAAGAGAGTAAAAAATGCACTTTCTATTCACCTTCAATATGCAAATTCAAAACCTTGTTTTCACCAAAAACCCACAACACCATAAAAATACAAAACATTCAAAAAAAGAAAAAAGTCCAATTAACTTTCTATTTATAGAAAATGGAATAATAATTCATTCCAAACATCCGGTACACCTGGCAAGCACCAATGAATGCAATCGGAATAACTCATCGGATTCGCCAATTCCGCCGCACTTCTACTCTCCCAAAATTTCCGATAAATTGATGGGTGGCCGTCTTTTCTGTATTCCGACATCTGAGTAATATTTATAATACTAACCCTCGACTTCAACTTATTTACAACATTATCCACCATCCTCATTGTCGCTAAATCAGAACCACTTCCCCAATACCCTTCGTCTGTAATTGGAGATTTTTCACCGTAACAATTCCCTTCGGTTCCCGATTCCCATTCCCGACTCCTATCAATTCCAAAACGGTTCAATGCAATAAATAACAACGTACTTTCAATGCTTTGGTACTATAGCATCGTATTATTTTACTGTAATCTTATTGTGTTCTCTCTGTCTGTTGTTTGACAGACACAGACAGTGTCTGACAGAGGGTATTATCTTATTGTAAAAAAACAATGTTACCGCTTACCAGAGATGACAGAGGGTATTATCTTATTGTAAAAAAACAATGTTACCGCTTACCAGAGATGAGTAGGGGACATGGTAACAAAAAAGACTTTTTTCTTGAATGGATCAATGTTAGATTTTATCCAATTAGCCCATGCTTCCATGGCCAATTCCATTGCTTCTAACCCTTCTGCTTCTTCACAAACTCTGTTTTCTTCGTTACTCCATCTACATGATTAAAAAAAACGGCATATTAAATGTGAGAAATAGTAATGTACTTTTATTGTTTTGTTTATTATAGGATCCTAGCAATATCATCCCACAATTGCTATGATTCGATAGATTTTGAAAAAATAATGATTAAATGCAATAAATAGCAACATACTTTAATCTACTTATGTGTTATTATAGCATACTATTTTTTAAATTTTCTATCAAAACATTATACAAATAAATAAAAGTACGTTGCTATTTCTTGTATTTTAATAAAAAAAATGGAGATTCACTCACAACAATTTCACTGAGCCTTGTCTCCACCACAAATATGAATTAAAGATCAATATATCAACATGCTCCCATTCAGATGCGTGTCTAAGAACTGAATCTGGACGCATTATTCTCTCATCCAATCGATGGTTGACCGGATCATCCGAGTTTGACTCCACTATAAGTGGGGCCCACTGAAATTCCACTGTGGCATTATACTCCTATACACAAAATGACAAAACAAATCATACAAAATTGAAACTTGAAAAATTCAATCTTTCATTTCTTTAGCCAAAATTAGAATTACGGATTTAACCAAAAAAGGAAAGAATATACCTCTGCTCGGAAGATGGTAAGAGGGGCATTTGGGGTAATTGACTTTTTTTCTGGAGGGATTACAGACTCTAAAAGACATAACATTGATATCCATTGGCCTCTGTTTAGTGAATCCCCTACAAACATCAATCTTTTGTCTCTTAACTTTTCCCACATCTCAGTTGCATTCCATCTAAAATTCATGAAAATAAGTTCAAGAAATTCAATTTCATGTAAATAAATTACTTATATACCCTTTTCTTGAAAACAAATTACCTCTTCAAATTGCAGCCATGAGGTTGCCATCTCCAGTACTGATACTCCAAATCAGGCCTTCCATGTTTGTGACAAGCCAATTGATCAGACATGTATGGGCATTCAGACTCTTTATAAAGAGGATATGAAGTGTTATCAAATACCCATTTGCCTTTAAACAAATCGCATGAATCCTTCTTTTCTTTTTCATGTTTATCAGATTGAATCAAATTGATATCCCATCTGGCTTTCTGCCCACTGTAGTTTACTGTAGACTTGCAGCTACTGAATCTATCCAAAGCCACTGGATTAAGATATCTTGTTAGGATATTGTACTCTAAAAATCTCTGTGATTTTAGTAGCGAAGATTGCTTTGTATTTGAAGGACATTGTTAATTTGTTATTAAAAAGATAAATGAAATTAGGATACAATTACTTGTGTTTAATCGTAATAGAAAACTCTGAGTAACAGGCCCAAGTGGATCGAATTGCCGTTTTAGATCTCCAAATGTTATGGATTTCGTATGATTGACAGTTAAATTCAAATGGATGTTCTTACAGCTTTGAATCTCAGATATGGCGTCGGTTATGAAGTGTGGAAGTTAAATGGAATGATCATTTTTTTTTCTTGAAATTAAACAGAACTCATGTGAAGGTGAAGTTGAAGTTGAAATCACACTAAGAAGATATCGAATTAAAGTGATTAGTGACCCATGAAGCTAAATCGCAAGAACAAGGTATTTATGAAGTCGAAATATGAACCCTAGTGAACTAAACAAGTAAAGTGTCTCTTTGAGACATATAATCAAACAGGTGATACACATACAGACCTGGAGGAACTTTCAGGCGACTGCTGTTCAGGGAAGAGGGTGTGGGTTTGGATAAAAACGCCTGCTTAACATCATTACGAGTACCAATGTCATCTCCTTTCCGATTTTCTTTACGGTGGATTTCTTGAAATCGGCGCTCGTTAAAGAAAATGGTACAGAACACGAACAGGAAGCAGACTAGTGCTATGAGTGGAAGTTGGGTTTTCTTCTTGTGCCATCTCTGAATCATCCTAGAGAGAGAGAGAGAGATGGCGTGGTGATTATTTGATTATCATTCTTGAATCTTGACTCGACAAGGGTCTTGACTTTAATTCAACCATTTCCAACATCTCCAATAATATTCCCGTAACATTTACGAAGGTAGTTGTCAATACAATTATCTTCATTTGATAACTATAAAAGGGTAGTTATTTATTCTTACATCGATATGCTAATTATAAACATATAAAATCAAGAATGTTGGTTGATTAATTGATGAAGTAATAAATTATCAATTTTTTGTTAATTTGAATATAACCAATTTTGTTATTAACCTTTGAAAGACTCGTCATTCGTATTGTTGATGGTTTTTTTTGTTGTTTTAGGAAGGTATCTTCTTTTATATGAGACCCGTTTGAATGATAAATTTTGTCAATAATACTGTTATACGCTATGGATTTCTCTAGTTTTGTAGTGTATTATAGAAAGGGAAAACAAATGTGACTACACATGTGTATATCATGTTGTGTCTCTTAAAGAGTTGCAAATTGGTGAAAGGTTATGAAATGTAATGTTGATATCTTCCCGTTATAATTGATATTGATATGCTATTAGGAATGATAGCGAAATTGAGATCTATCTCATATTTCTTATAATGATATAACTAATCATGTTAATAGAGGAGATGAACCTAAGGGCAAGTAAAATGCCATTGATATTGAACCAACCGGTAACATATAGGGTAAATTGGTTTGCTATTCAGTTCTTTCAAATCGTCAAAACCGTATCTTGGTACTTTCGGTTCCAGTACCATCAGTTAGGGAAAATTCGGTACTAGGTGTCAGTACCAGTTTTGATCCTCATAAATTTTTCGCACGAATTTTGAATGTACTAATTATATATTCAATATATTTTTCTTGGTCTTGACTACAAGTCAGAGTCAAGAATCAACTTTAATTGGATAAGTATTAACTCAATTCCTCAAATGTGGGATGGGTGAGGTTGTTTCGGTTTTTTAATTGTTTTTGACTGACTCTCATAACCTTTTTGTACGAATTCAAAATGAGCTAATTTTCTTTATTGCATATTCTTTAATGTCTTGGCTACAAGTTAAGTTCAAGAACCAACTTAATTAATTAATTATTGATTGAGTTACAGAGCCTCAAACATGGGATGTTAGGGGTTGTTCTAGCCTTTGTAATTGTTTTTTTACCATATACCAACCTTAATAACTTTTTCATATGAGCTCGAAGAGTTAATTTTTTTCGAGCATATTTTTTGTTATCTACAAATTACGTTCAAGAATCTGCTTAATTGGATAAATATTGGCTGAGTTACAGAGCATAAAACATGACTAGTTAGGGATCTTCAAGAGTCCGATACTGAAGTACTGGTATTGGTATATCATATTCGGTTTGGGATTTGTGGCTAACATTGTTAGGAATGCTTCTGACCATCTTAGGCCATTCTTGATGATGGACCCTCCGGCAACTTTAGAAGCCTTGGTCCATAAGGGCTCTTATCTTGAACTAACGCTTTGATCTCGGCTTCTAGATCCATATCCTTTCGCATCAAGAGTACTCGCGTGTCTCAAACCCACCTTTATCCCAACAACCCCATGATGAACATAAAGGAACCCGATGAGGGAAGTGGGACAATGTTCAGACCTTGGCTGTCACAACAAGCAACCAATCAGTTACAGTCCCAAGGGCTCTCAAGCAGGGAAACGCAGGATGGAAGGCGGAAAAGGCTTGGCTTTGTTTCACAGAAAACGGACTAAGGAAATTGAATTTTCGTAGTGGTGATGCTGGCTTCAGTTGACCTGGTTGATAAATAAATAAAGATTTTTTTTCATTTATTTATATGCAAGATCGAAGACGCGATTTGCGCGGGTCTGCTTTTTTTTTTTTTTTTTTTTTTTTAAGAAAGTAAGGAGGTTATTTGTTCGTTGGGTGATTCAGCGAGCCAAATCGCACTAATGCGATTCATTCGCCTACTATCCTATAGAGCAATTCAACCTCTTAGTAAGACTAGGGCTAGGAAAACACATTCTATCTGGGGCCTGGTAGGTGAAGCGTCTAGCTTGGGGGGAAACGCCCAATCCCTGAAAGGCCTTGATTGATTCTTTTATCACATTGGGAGATTTTACATCGTTGAATGGGCCTATTCGAAAACAATTGGATGATGACAAAATTATCAAAGAGTGAAATTCCTTATTTCGATTCAACAACGTATGCTACCGAGGGTATGGATAATCGTCCAGGTCTTATTGTGAAAGAAAAAAGCCGCCCCGCCACAGCAGGCGAGTTGCTTCCTCTATCGTCACCGGGGAGCTCTTGGCGAGGAGACCTTAGGATAAGTTGCTAAAACAAACTGGGGGGGGGGGGGGAGGATCGACCCGTTCAGTAGAATTCCGAAGAAAGACTGTTGGGAGCAGTTTCAAATCTTCTTCTTGCTTTCCGTTGATATTTTGATTTTCACTAAAATTGGAATTGATATTCAAATTAAAAAGAAGTAATTTGATTGGAATAAACCAAGGTTTCTCTTTATATTTATGATAAAGTCTCACAAACTTTGGAAAGAAAAAAACTTTCGGATTCGATAGGAGGCAATTTAAGATTAAGATTTTTTCATTCATTTTCATCCAATCAAAAAATACATTTTTGTAATTTATTTCCAAATTTGAATCAATCGGAAGATAAAAAAGACCATTATTATGAATTTTATCCTTTATTTGGTCCTTATTTTTATCCTTTATTTGGTCCTTATTAGGTTCAACCTTAATATTTGTTTAAACAACGAGTTACATTTACGTACTATCGGTGCCAATATTGGCATATTAGGGGCGATGAAAGAAATAACAAATTAGTCCTTCTACTTTAGGCATTATTTTTTATTTATTTTTAGAATTAAGAAATACTCATGGTAACCATTCAAGCCGACGCAATTAGTAATATTATTCGTGAACGTATTGAGCAATATAATAGAGAAGTAAAGATTGTGAATACCGGTACCGTACTTCAAGTAGGTGATGGCATTGCTCGTATTCATGGTCTTGATGAAGTAATGGCGGGTGAATTAGTAGAATTTGAAGAGGGTACAATAGACATTGCTCTTCATTTGGAATCAACTAATGTTGGTGTTGTATTAATGGGTGATGGTTTGCTGATACAAGAAGGGAGTTACTAAAAGCAACATGAAGAATTGCTCAGATACCAGTGAGTGAGGCCTATTTGGGTCGTGTCCAGTAACAAGTAAGAATAGCAAATTTTATTCGATAAACGAAAAAGAACAAAGAATGAAATAATTGGAATCACTAATAGTGCATGCTTTGTTGTATTAGATCAAAACCAGAAGGTTCTTTCCGGGTCCAATTTCTAATGAAGCGAAGGTCCCCCTTACTCCCTATTCTATCTTCAAGCTTTATCAAGATCTAAGAGAAAGGGTTGGTTAAGAACTATTGACTGTAAACGATAACAGTTACAGTCACTCAATGGATATGCTCGCCTTTGGAATGAAGATGGATGAACATGTACTTGAGACTGGAACTGATGAAATTCGGGGAAAACATGGAACCGGTCACTATAGCGGGGGGCGAGACATGACCACGACTTAAGATTCAAGTACTGTTGAAAAGACTAAAGGAACGGGGGAATGACTACCTGTAATAAAGCACATGCTAATACGAGCCGACCAGAAGAAGCAAGGCTTTAGATTACCAGATCCTGGACATAATCTTCCTAGAGATGGAGAGCCCCTGCCTTTTCTAGCCTTTCCTTCTTGCTTGCTTACCTAGATCTTATCTTAGTGACTCTTCCTCTTTTATAGGTTGTTCTGAGTGTGCAAACGGTAGATTTTTCAGTTGCCAATGAATTGGATCCGCCTCGATTCGATCAATAATGGGATTCTTGGCTAGAGAAAGGTTCTGTGATATGGACGCCCAACCCAACTCGGTCGGTCGGTTGGCCCACCTAAGATATTAAAAATTATCGATCGATTTGATCAAATTTGAAAAAGTCTTTCTCACTATTCAGAATAGTGGAGCTTTTGATCAAGATGTTCTCGCCTCCCCTGTTTGGGCTCTCGCTCGAATCGGAACCTTTATGCGTTGGTAGGATTTCGACTAAATCTAATAGCCTACCTATCGGGCGCCAATAATAGAGAAAGTTTGTGCATGGGCTCATTATCTGATACAGAACCGATGCGAGGGGAGAATCAATATGGGAGAAGCGGGGACTGAGAGCTTTCAAGAACCAGTGGAAAGGAAAGACTTGTTCCCTGCATTCCTTTTTTTTCCAAAGAGAGTCATTAGTACTAGGGCATAAAAGCTTTGATTGAATGAACGCCACCTTGGTTGTATTGTTTTCAAACAAATCCAATGTTGGGCCAAGCGTTGCCAGCTGGTAATAGCCGAAGGCAAAAAAAAGGGGGAGAACTAATAAAAGTTTCTCATTTAGAAAGAATGGCGAAAGAGGCCTCCTTGCATTGCCCAACTAGAGCGAAAAGCCTTATTGCGTTACGGCCCTAAGTAGCTATGGGGTGTTGATGTACTTGGAACCTAGACCAGTTACCTGAGTATGGCAGTTTGGTAGCCGTTCAATGATAGCATGAGATCCTCGCTTCGGTAAGTTACAAGGATGAATGCAAATAGCAAGGCGTTGTGTTGTGTGAAGTGAGACTGGCTGCCCTAAGTTGAGTGCTTCCTTATTAATATTAATTAATGATCTTGCTCAGTAGGAGGGCTTTCCCCCTTCTGTGTAGCCTGATTCTCTCTCTGAAAATGAGATACCTTCATCTTGGAAATTTCAGGTCCCGGTACTTTCAATTTGGCACCGGTTCACCGAGCTCACACCTGTGTGAAATTGTATTTAGAGAGATCATAATGATAATGAAAATGAAAAGGACTGTGTTTTAATATATACTTTCGATAAAGAAGGCAATGGATTATTAAATAATTTGGGTGATAGGTGGTGATCAAAAAATTGATTCTAAAATAAAATGTAATGTCTCGAAAATTATAAAGAGATTTTTTATTTTTATTTTCAAAATAGAATAACCAGTTAAACATTTGCTTCAAAAACCATTAAATAACATTTGATTGATTGAATCCATACACTATCAGAGTTAAATTTACAGA